GGTAAGGAAACGTGTGTGAGGAAGAACCACTGAGGGAGTATGTTGCAGGAGAGGAACAATTTCTGGGGGGTTTCAAATGACAAGGCCACTGTACTTGCAGATAAGTGAGGGGGCTGAGACCAAGCAGTTTTGAGGCGGGACTGAAGGACCTTTAAGGGTCAGACCAATGCACCAGCCCACTTGGGAGGCCTGATCTGAGCTGGTTAGCATCAACCACCAATAACCATCACTCACTGGCATACACTAAAGTTAGGGCTGGGGACTTACCTTCAGGGTGAGTTCATAGTGCCCACCAGTGAGAGTCAGAACAGTGAACTGGTAATATTAGGCTGGGGCACGACACTAACCAGCATGCAGCAGAATCGGGTCTAGGGGCATATACTGTAGGGGATATGTGGCCCCACCCCATGGAATGGCAATTTCTGCTGATTTGCTCAAGAGCTGGGGGCTGTTGACAAGTTGAGCTAGGCATTACCATGGAACCTTCCAACACTTATGAATATTGGCGCTGGATACAGGCTGGGTTGGTCCAGGCTGCAGCATGTGCAGGCACACCTAAGAATAGGGTGTGGAGCAGACCAAGTCACAACTTTCACCAGCTCATTCACAGGCTGGGAGAGAGGGGGTAGACTATGACAGGTAAGGGCCTAGCACCCACTGGCACATATGAGATCTGAGTCTTGGAGTGGGTCTGATGAAGGAACTTGAAAAACTTCCCTGAAGGGCCACATCTCCCATTGATGAGCATGTGATTCAAGCCTGGGTATTGGTCAGGATGGGCAAGGTAGTTCCACCCGTCAGCAAGTGTGTGGGTTGGTTTTGCCTGGAGCAGGCATGCAATGCAAGGCTGGGCCAAACCTTAGCACAGTGGCAAGGGCAGAAGCCAGCATAAAGTGTGAACCATGTCAGACAAGGCTATCATACCTACTGGTTTGCTAGAGCCAGGGATGGAACAGATTTGCAGGGCTAAGCTGCAGGAACCACCAGCAAGGGTTAAGACAGGGGGCAAGCCAGGACAGGCCAGGCTGCGGCACCTGATAGCAAAGGCCAAGACAGGTGAGGAGCTATGTCAGTGCAACCACTGGCATACCCAAGTTCTAGGTTGGGAATTGGCCTGGTTGAGGATGTAGGAGGCAACCCAGCTAGGATGTGGTTCCCAGTGGTGAGTGCAATAGCCAGAATGGGTGCAGTGACCTGGGCTGGACATGACAGCCATGTCCCTTGGCATTGATAGGGACTGGGTCTTGGTGCACCAGACTGGGCTAAGCTCCAGCACCCATTGGTGCTCACAAGAGCCAGGTAGGCGTAAGACAGGTTGGGCTACATCTCTGCCCCTGGTGAAGCACGTGTGAGCTGTATCTGGGCATGGACCAGGTGTGGTTAGGCTGTAACACCCAACAGTAAGACATGGAATAGGTGTGTGCTGATTGGGCAAGGCTACTGTTCCTGCCAGGAAAGGAGGTAGACTAAGTCAGTCAGAGCCAATGATCCACTGGTGTGCCCATGATCTGCCATTGAAAGGAGACCTGATAAAGGAGTGGGGGGAACTCCTCTGTCATGACACAGTCCTTGGAGGTGAGCATAAGAACCAAGGTTACAATACCCAACAGCATACATGTGGTTCACGTCTGGGAATGGACCAGGCTAAGTCAGTTCAAAACAGATCTGAGAACCATGTCGGGGTGCAGGACTGACCGGGTCAGGCCATAACACCAACAAGTTCACATTAGGGCCAAGACTGGGGGCTGACTGAGCTGGGCTAGGCTGTAGAATCTATCAGCATGAGCTAGAACTGGGGGCAGCACCCTCCAGCCAATGCCAAGGTGAGGGAGGCCACGCCAGACTGGGCCACAGCACCCTTCAGCACATGGGAGACCCTGGGAGAGGGATGCAAGCCCAGTAGGGGTATAGCACAGGCTTCCTGCTTGGTCACTGCTCACACTGGTGAGTGTGAGAACTGATACTAGTGGAAGACCATGCTAGGCCAGGCTACAGTATCTGTTGGCCTGCATGTAAACTGGGTTAGTGGAGAAGCCAGCAAGGCTAACTAACTGTATCCAACTGGTTCATGCATAAGCCAGAGTAAGAACAGGCTGATTGGGCTTTGCCACAGATTCAGCTGGCAAGTGCTGGAGCTAGGAACAATCCTATCAAGATCCAGAACTGGGAGTGGGTCCAGTAGTAAAACTGTAGGCACCTCTCTGATGGGTGCAACTCTCACTGATAAGCTTGAAAACCAGGGCTAGAAGAGGCCCTGGCTAGATAAGCAGTGGTACCCACTGGCATGAGTGTGAGCTGGATAGTGGGGTCAGTTGGGTTGACTTAAACTCCAATGCCTACTGATGTGTATGATAGCTGAATGGGATGTAGGACAGACTGGACCACTCCGTTGCACACACTGGCAAACCTGGGAACCAATGCTAGGGGCAAGTCTGGTGGAGGTTATTGGATATCTCTCCAACTAGGCTACAGTTCTCATTGGTACATATGACGTCTGAGTATACAGTAGGCCGGTTTGGTCTGGGCCACAGCATCCATTGGATTGTGTAAGAGATGGGGCTGAAGACAGGACTGACCAAACATTGCAACTATCCCAATGTGTGCATTGACTGATTTGGGTAACATTTTGAGCCAAACCCTGTCCTGGCCAGCATACACAATAGTCAGGTCTGGGATCACTTCTGACAAGGTTCCTCGGGGAATCCCCCAACTGAACTGCTGGACTCAGAACTCTAACTACTGAGAGAACTGCAGGATCTGTGATCTGACCATAGAGTGCATGCAGCAGAACTAGACCTTCTCAGTGGCTAAGATGGAGCTATAGATAGCATACCCAAATGCACATGGAGGATATGGCAGTCCACTGGAGCCTGCAGAGGATACCTGGTACTATAGCACAGGAAGGAGGGCAGAACAACTTGGAAAACTACCCCAGCCAAGCGTTGACAGCAAATACTTGGGCAAATGGAGACTAAGGTAGACTATGTCAGCCAATGGAACTTAGAAGGATTTCCTCATAGCTGGATCGGTGAGACTGACAGCATTTCAGAACTATCTAAACCACTCAAGCAGAATCCTTGGAGCATGCTCCACATCAGGAACCCTGGGATGACATCAGGTGGCTGTTCTCCATCCCAGGGTACTAAGGCAGTTAGGAGGCTGAGTGCAGTTTCTGCACTTCTCGCCCCTCTTTCCCCAGATACAGGAAAAAGAGAAAGAAAATTTGGAAACAATAGTCTCAACCACTTTTCTCTAACTCTTGATCCTTCCACCCTTATCAACTATGTAAACAAAATTAAAAATAAAAATAAATAATTAAAAAATAGAAGAAATGCTTCTCTCAATGTTTTTGCTATCTGGATCCCAGTGATCTCTATCACAGGCCCAGTGATCTATATTCTGAGCTCCAGACACACTGTTACCAGCTGATCTGTGACACCTGAATATTCTGAATTCTGAATCCAACTTTGTAAGAGCTCTCAAGCTTTAAAGTTGTCATCATTCTAATCTATTTCTTCTGTTTCTTAGGGTCTGGAATAGTGGCAAGTCCTGTATCACTTCCTCCATGATACCTCAGTTTTTCCTTTTTGACTTTTCAGTTCTCTAATATGCAAAATTCCTTAAATAATATCTCAAAATAATTAGTACATTTCTGTCTTCTGACTAGCCTGATTTAGACCTTCTCGGCTTAAATATTCCATTACAGCATTTTTGACTGTGGATGCTAGAATTATAGGTGATGGAAAGGGTTTCATTCTAACAATCTCACAGATTCTCAAGTAAGAAATGAAGCTCCTGTTTAACCAATCCTATGTATTTAAACCTACATTTCTAATTATCCTGCTGCTACTACCCAATCCTCAATCTTCCAGGGCTTACCCACAATGTGGGAAGACATGAAACAGCTCCACACTCAGCTCCCAATTCCTTTGCTCTTCTATGCTTCTCTATCATTCCTATCTTCCAAATCTTCATTGCAACAGATTTTCTTAATTCTGAAATTTCTCTATTCTCTTTGTCACAGCAAGGCTCTTGTGTCTCTGACATGACCATAGAAGAACATTACTCAACTGCCCTGTACCAAGGGCAGTCCCAGTCAGTAGTATCAGGAAACAGTTTCTCTAGCAAAGCTACAGCCCAAAGTGGACCTGCTTTAGTTGACCACTGAACCTCTGAGCAAGTGATAATCACTCCCTGTGGCCAGGGTCTGAGCTCAGTGGTCCAGTCAGAGTGTCCCTCAAGAAACTGTTTTGGTCGTACTTGTATATAATTTTTTATTATTTTCAGAATATAGGTCAGTCCAGATACCAACACATCATAATGTCACACCAAATGCATATATTAAACCATGAGTATTATTTTACTTTTACTTTAAGATAGTGTCATAAATAAAGCTAAAATTATATAGATGTATATATGTACATATGCATATACATTTACATATGAGACTAAAGTAAATAGAAAAATAACCCACCTTTCACCTCTCCCTGGATTCATCCTGAGTAATTGGGTCTATCAATTTTTTTTCTTATGCAGTTTACTATACTTTTTTTATTTGCCACCACAATTTTAAATGAGAATGAGTTATGACTTGTCACTTTTTATAATGTCAATAAACTCTGTGCTAGCATATAAGAAACTTGGTATACACAACTATTCAAAACTTAGTGAAAATGGAATTTGAAAGTGCCAAAAAAGGAAAGCCATGCATGCAACAAGTTCAAGACTTTCATGAAAATGCATATTTTGGGAAAATTAAATGGTTTTTAAAATTTATCCTAACAGGGATATTCTGTGTAGTAGTCTATTGAGCAATTTTGGATTTCTGTCTAGTGTCAATAATTTTTTTAAAACCTCAAAAATAGTGAAGTCAGGCTAGCTCAAATGTAACAGCAAGGTACCAGAAACTTCTCTCAGGTCCTAAATAATATTCATGTTATTATAATAATAATCTTTCAGATTACATACAGATGTAACATTGATTAGAAAATGTTTCTTACCATATCTGATATTTTAAAAGACCTTTCTGTTCTTGACAAGAAGGGAGCACACCAGTTGGCCAGATTACGTAATTTTTCAGATATTCCACCAACTTCTGATGTCTAAAAGGCATGTAGAGAGGAGGAGTTAAATTCTATATATTTTATTAATACAAATTCTCTTTAATAAGTTTGCCTGAAGCTCAGCAATATTGCTTTGTCATTACACTATATAGACACTACTCAGAAATAAAATTTGTAAATAGAAATAGAAGTAAAAAAATATTTAAGAGGTAGTAAAGTGGAAAAAAAGAATTAAATATATAAATCTAAGTAGTAACAATGAATCTGGATAAATTATTTAAACATATGGAAAATGAACTGCTAGCTAGACTCTAATATCACAAGCACACATCAGCTCCTTTTCTGTTTTATAACTAATTGGCTGCATTCCCCATAATAAATGACTACAAGGTATTTAAACAAACAGAATTATTTGTTGACACTTTATATTTAATACATGAAATTAGAAATAAATTAGCAATTACTATTTAACTTAAGTATGTGGCAATTCTGAATACATTTCCTTAGCAAAATGATTCACACTCCTAATTTCTTATATGCAAGGAAGACATAAATTAATAGGCTGGATGAGAATGATAATCTAAAAATTTAATTAGCAATTAGCTAATCCTTATGATAACTACACTGATTTATCACATAATTTATTCATTTGTATTCATTTAATAACGTAAACTTTGTAAGCAGTCTCAAAATTCCCTGCATGTGCAAAAGTAATAGAATGGCTTTCACCCATGTCATTGTTTTAATTCATATTCATACTTTGGAAATGTATGTAAGTATTAGATATTTATCTTTATTTTGTTTGTAACACCAATTCACTAAAAATTTTAAAAAAATCTACCCTAACATATAGTTTCTATGAAATTGCCTCTGTATTTTAAATGCTGAAGCTGGCATTTCTGTACTCATTGTCATATTATGCCTATCAAGTGGTTCAAATAAAAATAGGTAGTTTTTATCATTTTCAGAATCAGAACAAGTCACATCTTATAAAAATTGACACCTTTTCAAACACAGAACATCTGGGTCAGCATTATTACTTTTATTCTTTGTTTCTGAAGCTGAAAATAATTGCTATAATAATTATATTATTGGCAGGCACATTATATGAGCACGTGTAACAGGAGGAAATTCCAAAGCATTGTGCAACTTTTATTCATTTGGAAGTAGAGTCACTACCCTGAACAAAAATACAAGAAAAAAAAATGTGTTAGTCATTGGAAAACTTTGCCTTGGGAGGGAATGGGTAGCTTGCAGAAAATCACATTTCTACCATGAATAATTTTTAAAACTAGAGATAAAATATAATCAAATTGCATTTGGAAAGACCTCACAGTGTTGTGAGGTAACACAACCAGATGGTGAAGATTCTGAAGAAGAGAAGATTTCTCAGAAGTGAAATGTGAGTTTACAGGTGCTTTCTCCCTGGGGAAAGTTGCTAATGACAATTCAACACAGTAAGAATTTGGGCTTGGATCTGGCAGAGGAGTGCTATTAAGGAATGGAGCAATTGGCTTATCATCATCATGTTGGGCCAGAATGGCAAAACTTCACATTTGTGGTGCCATGAAACATATGGTATGTTTCACATCAAAATGTTTCCGAGAGGTGAAGGCAGAGTGAGATAAAAATCTAAGCCAAAAAAAAAAAAAAAACAAAACCTGAAATATAGAGACTGAAATGACTGGAGTTTAGTTCCTGCCAAAAAGCAAAACCCTAAACACATAAAATTCACTGTTTTCAATAGGAAAACACACCAAAAAAAATGAAACCATTAGAGGCCAACTAAATATTGGTAAAATAATCAGCATAGTATATGATTGGAATAAATATGATCTCCTCTAACTTCTACCTGATCTACAGAGAAAAGTAAAAGCTTCTCTAGCAGAAAAATAACACCATTCAGAAGAAGTTTTAGGTGCAATTTATGGCGTTCTTATAAAAAAATAAGTATAGAGCATGCCAAAATGAATGCCTAATCACATATTGAGAAAAAAAAAATAACAGACCAGGTATTAGCAGTAATGTGTCAGGATGTGAAAAATAACTGTAACCAATGTGTTTACATTAGACTTTCATCACTATAATAACTGAAAGTATATTTATGAAAGCAGAGTGTTTAGTCCACAGTTTGGAGCCACAAAGTCCAAAGGATGTGAGCTTTGATCTGGCAAGGGTTCTGTCATAGATGCCAGAGCTATGCAGAGGAGGATCACATAGTGAGCCAAGCAGCAGTCAGAGTAGTTGGTCTCAAACTTAGCCTTTCACAGCAAGCCTTCTCGTAAGAACTATCTCCTGAGGGCATGCTCCCACGGCCTGAGGATCTTCCATTACTCCCTACCTCCAAAAGATCTCCCAATACCCACTAGCCCTCCTCTGACTACCAAGACTTTAACATTTGGATCTTCTGCAACAGGGGAATGACATTTAACCCTCAAATATGGTATCCTAAAGGTTCAAATCCATCTCACAATGAAAAGAGCATTCATTTCATCCCAAAGAGCCACAGAATTTTGAGTCCAACACCAATTCAAAAGTCCAAAATCATCCCTGTGACTCAAAGCAAGCCTTTAAAAAAATGCTATATACCTCCAACAAACAATGCTGGGATAGGCACAAGGGGCACATGCCAAAAGGGCACAGGAGACATGGAAATAAAAATTACAAACAATTGACTGCAGGTAAATATGGACCCCAGCAGCACAAACATCAAATCCTAACGCTCTGTGTTCAGCATCTGGGTCACAAAGAGCGCAGGAGATGGGTTCCTCAGGACTTAGGCAGCACAATCCCTCTACTTCTCTGATTTTAGCCCAAGTGTCTGCTCCCTCAAGCTTTCACCAAAAGACATTGCTTGCTGTAGGAACTTTTGTCTTCCTGGAATTTCTACTTCATCTCTAGCATTATCCTTAGGGTTTTACTGGGATCCCTTCCACCAAGGATCTATGTAGGTCTACCAACTCTTGGACCCAAGTCTTGCTAGCCTTCTAGGCTTGGTTCTGAAATTTTAGCTGCCTTGATATCAGCACTGTGACAATTTGCATACCTGCAAAACCAGCATCAGATGAATGAGATCAAGATCTGCCCAGCTGCACTTAGGTCTGCTTGATGCACAGCTCCAGTGTCCTCCAAACACTTCACTAGTAAGGTGAACAGATCTGCCCTTCTAACCCTCTGATATTGTGATGGGAGTAGGGACCTCAAAATTTACGAGATATTCTTGAGTTACTGTGTCCTTGTTTTGCTATGATCCAACTCCAGCTGTTGCAGCCTTTAGGGAGTAAAGCAATAAATGGGAATTTTTTTCTTTTTCTCTGAGTGTGTGTGTCTCTCTCAATTGGTCTATCACCCCTTTCAAATAAAATTTTAAAATGAAATTTTAAAATTTAATATTTAACAACTAAATAAACATAACAGATAGCAAAATGAAGTTTCAATGCTCTAGGTCAGTGTAAGTAATTGCTTTTAGTAAACAGCAGTAAGTAAATGATGCCATTATAGCTTTTATGGTAAATATTAAAATAATAATAAATGAAGGTACAACTAAAATGGTAATAAAGAAGAATGAAGTAAAATATTTGATTCATCCAGGGAGCCAAGCAAGATGACAAAACACAATAACCAGTGAGCCAATAAATATTTATAATAATATGGTGCATGTATATATATTGTTATACATACTGATAGTTTTGCCAGTAAGAATAGCAAAATATACTGAGTTCTCACTTTTCCCTAGTAGCTACTAAGTCTTCTCCATGTGATTCCATTATTATTCATAATAATGTTTTGATATTGATATTATGATCACTTACCCAAGAAACAAAAAACTTAAACAATTTATACAAACCAGTGGAAAGCCAAGAAATATATTCAACATCTCTGACTCCATATAACAAGCTCATTATCAATGTGCTATTTTTCCCAATATCTTCAAGGAAAGCTAAAGATTACTTATAATAGGGCACAGCATGGTAGCCTAGCAGCTAAAGTCTCGCCATGCATACCCTGGGCGCTGGTTCTAATCCCGGTAGCCCTGCTTCCCATCCAGCTCCCTGCTTGTGGTCTGGGAAGGCAGTCAAGGGCGGCCCAAGGTCTTGGGACCTTGCACCCATATGGGAGACTCAGAAGAGGCTCCAGGTTCCTAGCTTTGTATCAGCACAGCTCCAGCCATAGATTCACTTGGGGAGTAATCAACAGATAGAAGATCTTCCTCTCTGTCTCTCCTCCTTTCTGTACATCTGACTTTAAAATAATAAAAATAAATAAATCTTTTTTAAAAGATTACTGATAATAAAGCATTTTTATACTTCTTACTCCTTATAATATTAATAATTACTTTAATCTAAATCTCATATACTAAGAATAATAAATTGTTAATATATTTCAAGCAAAACACAGCAAGAATGCTCTAAAAACTAACATTTATAATATATTTGAAATATACTTATATATTCACATAAAATGGTTAAAGTGGAAAACTTAATATTATATGTTTTGCCAAAAATAAAAATATATACATTTAAAACAGGCATAATTAACACAAAAGATAAAGAACAATATCAAAGATTGGTGACAGAAGAAAGCTAAAAATAAAAGTTTAGAAATACAGAAAATCTAGCAATCAAAAATATTTTAAGAGAATATACATAGGCACATGAAATGTTTTAGTATCTAATATAATAAATGGTGAAATTAATAGGAAAAAAATTTATATCAATTAGAGAGCAGTTCTGATAAAGTTTTCAGACATACCAAAAGGACCAATGGGAGGAAAGTAACAAAAGAAGATCTGTAAGATAACAATATATATGTACTGATTTTATCATTTCATATAAGTGCTATCTGTGTTTTTCAGTAAGCTTACAATATTCAGAGTTTGACTTCTTCATCAGGCATTTTATCAACCTCCCCTATAATATTAACTGTGTTTCTTTTGGGAGTCATACTGCCTTGTTCATAGATCTTGTGTTTTTACACTAACTTTTGCCCATCTTATGCATTCTATATTTTGTGTTGCTTTGTTCATTGAAGGCTTTGCTCCTGGGTGTTTGCATCTGGTGCTGGTGGAATGCCAAAGACTTACACCTGAGTTCCAGGTGTGTGTGTGCTTGGTAGTTTCAGGGAGTTTGGCTAACAGTTTGTGGGAAGGACAACAATCCAGAGTGTGCCACAAAATAGACAGTAGTACTCCACTGGCCACAGTTAATGCAGAGAAGGGATGCTGGAACCAGTTAGTGCCTTGAGCAACCAAGCCCTTCTTTCTGCCTTAGTGAACCAAACTGATTCACAGTTTAGAGCAGGCTCACTGTGCCAGTTCACCTTAGGCACCTAACTGTGAGCACCATTCAGAGCACTGAGCCACTCTGAAGTGTGCCCTTTGACTCCTCCACAGGATCCAATACCATGAATCTCCTTGTCAGATCGGACAGGTGCATGAGAACCCAGTGTAGCACAGGTTGGTCTTAACTCAGTGGTTACTTTCACAAGCTGCCTGTATCCAACCCTGGCAGCCCCCAGCAATGGCAGAACTGTCCACTGTTTCCTGACACAGAACAGAGTTCAGCACTATTTCACCCAAGCAAATCATATCTGGTTCCTTGAAGATAAGGAACAAAACATGGCCTCTGCTCATGGAGTCAAATGGAGTCAAATGGCTAGCCACATACTCACTGGCTCCCCAGGCCAGAGGTGAAATCAATGGGGACCATGAAATTCTCTTTGTCAGTCAAAGCCACGAGTGACAGTGCCACAACAGCCCCCTCAAAGCTCACTCTAGAAAGATGGTGCTTCCCAGATGCCAGCTGACCGTGAACATGCAGGTGTGACTGGCAGCCTGGCAGGCAACAATGTGCCTAAACATATTTTTCTACTTTTTCTTTATATACTTGTTTTGTCATTATCATTATTCTTATCTTAAAATCACATATGCATCTTATAAATATACTAACCAAATCTAGCTATTATATCCATTGGGTTGAAATCTGAAACCATTGTGCTTACCAACTGGTCTTGGTCATATGGCCCACATCACACAGAGCCAGTTTTTATCTTATAAAACTTTCTACTATAAGATCATCCATCCAGCTTCTTCTGAAGTCTTCACTGTCTTCACTTGTGTTTTAAATCTTTGGACATTCACCATTCTAATTACTGAAGATATTTTAGGGCACAGTTTTGCAATGTTACCATTGTTACCTCTAGAGATTTACTTTGCTTCTCTTTTTTTATTTCTGCTATTTCTCAAGTATTTATTTCTTCTCCTTTACTTACCATATGCTATACAGTTATAACAACTTTTTAAATAAATATTTCTTTATTCTTATTGGAAAAGCAGAGTTACAGAAAGAGAGAGAGAGAGCTTCCATCTGCTGGTTTACTCCCCAAATGGCTACAACAACCAGAGCTAAGCTGAGCTGAAGCCAGGAGCCAGGAACTTCTTGAGGGTTTCTCACACAGGTACAGAGTCCCAAGGCTTTAAACTATCCTCCACTGTTTTCCCAGGACACAATCAGGGAGCTGGATCAGAACCAGAGCCACCAAGACATTAACTGGTGCCCATATCAGATGCCAATGTTTGCAGGAGAAAGATAAGCCAATTAAGCCATCATACTGCCCATTACAATTATTTAATGTCCTAACATATTAATTGACATGCAACTTCATGGACAAGAGAAGGGTTCTATATTGCATTCAAAAAATATTACTTTGATATTAATTCATTACCTGATAATCAGGAGGACCAGGAGTAGTATAAGCTTCTTTCTGAACCAAGAAGAAAGTCCGAGGAGCAGAAGAACCAAATGCACTTTCCTTTGGTTGCTTCAAGCATGTTTTTCTATTAGCAAGAATAGTATTGTTTAGCATATTGTAAAATCCAGGACCTATAGATTAAAAATATAAAGAATATCTTATGAAAGAATGAGCATGACTTAATTACTGTTTTTGAACTGAGCAAATTTAAATTAACTATTTTTAATTAAATAATTAATTTGAAATTTTTTTAGAAAGAGCAATCTCTCTCGTTCTCCCTCTATCATTATAATTCTGTTTTTTAAATAAATAAATCTTAAAAAACAAAATGATGGAATGGGGAAAGTAGCACTGTAGCACAGCAAGTTAAGCTGTCTCCTACGACACCAATATACTGTACTGGAGCACTAACGCCTCTTGTTGTTCAAGTGTTTGGACCCCTACTAACAATGTGGGACCCTGATAGACTTCCAGGATCTGACTTCAGCCCTGGCACTGCCCTAGATTCTGATGCAATTTGGAGAGGCAGCCAGTGACAGTGCTCCCTCATGCCTACTTGCTGTGTGTGTGTGTGTGTGTGTGTGTGTGTGTGTGTGTGTGTGTGTGTGTGTTCTATAACTCTGCATTTCAACTAAACAAATGGATAAGAATAAGAAAGACTTCATATGCTGGCAGAAATGCAAAACTGTATAGCCACATGGAAAAACAGTTTGTAAAATTCCTACAACGTTAAACATATTCACCATAACATCCAGAAATTCTATTCCTAGATACTTTCCAGCAAGAAATAAGAACAACCCAAATTTCTGCCAGTTGCTAAGTAGAAAAATACAACTTGCTCAGCAATCAAAATACAAACAATAGCAACAACCTGAATGAACCTCAGAAATGCCATGATAAGTGAAAGAACACAGACAAAAAGTTCTTAAATATAGTTTGATTCCACTTATATGAAAATCTAGGAAATATGAAAGCATACAGTAAATACAAGCTTTAATGCAATTAGTCCTTTGCAAAGAAGGAACTACTATTTTTCCTTACACTGGGGAACAATCTCCTTTCACATACAAACAATGGTAGCATTAAGGTAAATTACATTTTCATTGATATCACATCTAAAAAGGGTCAAGCTATCCTAAACAAATAAGTTGTTCCTATGCCTAATACAAACAATGTTTTTTCAAGCCAAACACAATTAATTATAACATTCCAAGTTCTGATATAAGAGCACATATTAAAATTTTCACGTAAGTAAATTTCAGGATTTGAGCATGGCATGACCTCATAACAAGGTACCCAAAGATCTCAAATACTATCTTCCTAAGCTTCACATTTGGTAAGCCTTTCTGCTTCTAGCATTGACTCTAGGCTTCTCCCTTCCTGGGCCAAATGTGTACTGGACAGAATCAGACTGGACTGCAACACCCATTGGTTCATGTGGAAGACAGGGCTGGAAACAGAACTGACCCAGCAATTGCAGCCACAAGCATGTGTGTAAGCTGATTGAGGCGATGGACAGTGCTGGACTCCTGTACGGGCAAGCACACACAAGAATCAGGTCTGAGATCACTTCAGGTGAAGTTTCATTGGAGATCCCTCCAACTGAACTGATGGACTCAGAACCCCAACCATGAAGAGAATTGCAGGTTCCATGGTCTAACCATGGAGTGCAAGTGCCAAAGCTCAGCCTCCTCAGAGGCTCAGATGGAGGAGTGGACAGCATATCCAGATGCACATGGAAGATATGGCAGTCCATCAGAACCTGCAGAGGACACCTGGTACCACAACAGAGGATGGAGGACAGAACAAGCCCCAGCCATGAGTTGGCAGTGAAAATCTGGGCAAATGGAGACTCCAAGGTGGACTATGTCAGCCAGTGGATTCTATAGCGATTTCATTGTGCTTGGAATGGCAAGACTGGCAGCAATTCAGAATTGTTGAATTATCAAAACCAATTGACCCTCAGAGCATGCCCCATATCAGGAACATGAGATTGGTGGGAGGCTGGGTGGAGCTTCTCCCTTTATCTGCCCCCCACCATAGATACAGAAAATAATAATAATAATGTGAAAAAAAATAGTCTTACTCACTTTCATGTAGCCCTTAGCCCTTGACCCTTTGTGTCCTAATCAACTATGTAAAGATTATCAAAATAAAATAATCACAAAAAAAGAGAAATCATTTATATTCACTCTTCTGGGATTTAATTATCTGATGTCCAGGAATCACAAGTCAAACTACTAGGAAACAGCTGGGATATCTAGGGTGGCCCTCAAATGGTAACTTGCCACCATTCTCATGCCCTACATCAAGTGTTCAATTCCATCTATGATATGCTGAGAACTCCAGTTCATCCCTTTACCCTAGTTTGAAAAGAAAGCAAACTTCTGTGAAAGCCTTTCTTGCCAATGCTTAAAATATATAAAATGATTAGATCCTACACATTCCATAGTCCTCAATTCATTAAAAATAATCAATGTGAAATTTGTGATGCTTTATTTATAATTTATTGGATCATCAAATTTAAAAAAACAATCTTAAAACATCTGAAACACTTAATAAATCAATATTCTTAAATATTTTAGAGTTCGCACTCATGATAAATACTATTGAGATGGAGTCAAATTAGGCTGGTTCAAGGAATACCTATGAATGCCCTGTCAAGAATGGGTGTCTCCATTTCACCAACAAAGATCACCAGAAAATATATCTCATGGATATTGATTTTTTTGTTAGTTTCATCTCTTCAAAACACTTTCTTCTGATTAAATTCTTCACTGATGCATATATCACACAGTAGCATAATTTTTTTCAAGAAGGTTCTTGATTTTCTTTTACATCTTCAGCAACACATTAGTTATTCAGTAGCATGCTATCTAACTTCATGGTACTGTAAATTTCTTTTTTTTATTCTGTTGTTGATTTGTATTCTGGCTTTTCATTTAAGGGGATGTATAGTAGTAACTGTAATGGAGACTATTGTATCCAGATGTGAGGATACAACACAGTATGCAGCTCTATTTCCAAAGATGGACTCCCAATGAAACTGTTACCTGTATCCTGACCATAGGATGCTGGACTCTCTGCCACTGTCCATGCCCACAATGATGGACATATGACTGTATATAAAGAACTATACTATAATAGTAATACAGGGGATCTCAGTGAGGGTAGAAGGATAAGGGAAATCCTAGGGCCTATGAAACTGTATGATAAAATGATAATAACAATAATAATAAAAGAAGTAAAAGAAAAAAAAGAATGGGTGTTTCCAGGTAGATTACACTAGTGTTCTCTGCTCAACTCCTTTCAAATTCATTCTCCTGTACCATGCCAGACAACAACTTAGGTTTACCTTACCAATGTGCCCCAAACAGAATCCCTGTTCTTCAACAAATGCTACCATCATTTTAAGCACAGCCTTGTACTTTCTCAGTTGACAAAGAAATGCTAGAATGTCACTTCTACTGAATGTGTGGTGAGGAAAGCCACCAAAATTTGCCAGGATTGAAGCAGAGAATAGTGAGGCTCAATATGTCAATGGAACTAGTAGCAAACAGCTAAATGCTACACTACTGTAATAAATTCCAAAATTTGTGGCAACCATTTGTAATCAGGCAGTAACTCAGAAACTAGAGTAATCTCATGATATTAAAAAGAGGGACCAGTGTGGTTGCACAATAGGTTAATTCTCCACCTTGCAACCACCAGCATCTCATACGGGCACAGGTTCCTGTCTTAGCCATTTCACTTACAAAACAGATCCCTGCTTGTGGCAGGGAGGAAAAAGAAAGCAGTGGAAGATGGCCGAAAGCCTTGGGACCCCGCATCCATGTGGGAGACCTGAAAGAAGCTCCTACTTTGGGTCTGCTCAGCTCTGGTCATCTGGGAAATGAACCAATGGATAAGAACTCGTTCTGTCTCTCCTTGTGTCTTTGAAATAAAAACAGGTAAGTCTTTTAAAAAATGAATTAGAAAAGAGTCCCTGAAGAGACTGTTTGTGATGAATGGAAAGACATGAGAAAAAAATGTTTTAAGGCTGGAAAAATGTAAGTACTTCTGGGCAATGAAACATTCACAAAACTAATATTAAAGTTAATATAAAACTAATCGTTTTGCTAAAACTAATAACTGACATAATGAAGAAAGTACTTAATGACCTCTTTGATTCTAAAGAATATACGAATGTCAAAGTGTCATCATGTGTTGATGGGTATGGGTAGAAACATTTTTCAAGCAGAATTCATTGAAATCAGAAAAGAAATACATTTTTTTAACCTGAAAAAATAACCCTATCTCTCCAAACACCAAAAATCTCTCAAAGAAGTAACTTCAGGCAAAGAGCAAAAGGTTCTGTGAGATCCTTTGCTTCATTTTCCCAAAAATTTAGTGCACTGCTCATAGAACTTAAGTTAAATAGAAACACCTCTAAAAATCTACAAACCTTATATTCTGTATGCCCTAGTTAAAAGAATAATACTTCTAAGAATTTATGGGTATTAAAATGAACTGCCTCAAAAATGATACAAGACAAAGATTTTTCTCATGAAAACAGAGACTATTTTATAGAAGATTTGATTATAAATTAATATAATTAGAGACTCGGTTTTATAAATATGGCAAAAATTTGAGATCAAACTGACAGTTGAGAACACAAAATGAAAAGCAATAATGTAGACTCCCAATTGGCAGACAGAAAGTAGGCTGAGGAAACTCTAGCCACAAAGAAAGCTTACTAACTATAAAAAGGAAATGATGACTCAAAATATTTAATTGAGAAGCAAAAATTCACATAAAATCATTCTCAGAGTCTAATTAGATCCTCATCAAGAAAACTGTGACATCTGCCTCACTGGACTTCAGAAATACTATGGTCCTGGGACTACTACCAGCTTTTCGTTTTTCTTTCCAAAGAGATTTGCCTAACCCTCCCCTCCCTTGGTATTCTAAGTTGGATGAACCAACACACCTCTTTAGTTTACAGATCTGATGATAGAAAACTTTAACAATCATTCACAAAGTAGCATAAGAACTACACTCAAAATTCTCAATTACACTTATACTTTCTCATATGTTGAAGTCTAGGACTCTGAAACCATTCCATCACTCTGTGAGATTATAGGGTCCATTAGCAGTGGTGGGTATACACCGTAGACAATATAGCAGTGGCCACAGTAAACTACATAGTAGAAGCCCGTGATGCTACTTCTGTCATCGATAAACATAGGTCTATGTCCTTCCCTTCACCATGTGTAACCCTGAGTGACTGGATTAACTAAGACAATGTAGAAGACGTTATATCCGGGGACTCCTATGGTTGATTTAGGAAAAGTTTTGCAACATTTGGTGAAGTTTAATTATGTCCTGTATCACCATGTTAAGCTCAGACTTCCTGCCCTAAGGCAGAAATGCTGGTGCTATCTTTATACTCAGAAAAACAGTTCCACCAAGGCCCTGCATTCCAGTCATCCAACAAGTGTCCTGTAATCCGATATTTACAGCGCCACATTCTACAATATTAAAGACATGCAAGTAACCCAGATGCTCACCAAAAGAGGAATGGATAAAGAAACTGCTACATCTACTCTGTGGAATGATATTCAGCCATAAAAAGAATTAGATTCCACCATTTTCAACAATGCTCCCATTTTGTTTCTATTTTTTATAAACAAATTCTATATTTTCATTAAATTTTGATTCTATATACCAATATGTTGAGTAAAATAAGCTAATTCCAAAAAAACGAATATTATATATCCTCTCTGATATAAGGCAACCGGCTGGTCCGAGTGCAGTGCTGCTTTACAACAAATTGATAACCTGATATAAGGCAACCTTCACGCAAAATAAAACATCAGTAGAACTATAGGTAAACATGTATATGCATACATTTATTTGGAGGAACTATATAGTGGAGACAAGTATGACATGAAGGGAAGTGAAGACACAATGCAGTAAGCATCTCTAATTCTGAATAAAAGACAAAACCCAATGAAACTTAACTATATCTTAACAATAGAATGTTGTACTTTACATCACTTTCTATACCTACAGTGCCTTAATACACTTAAATAGCAGCATGATGGGCTTGTGATTGTTGTTGAAGGACTATACTATCGTTATAATACAGGTGAAAACACTGTGGGGGCAGAGAGGATGGAAAATTCCTGAGCCTAAGAAACTGTATCATGAAGATGTTTCTTTAGAAAATTAAAAAATGATATGTACTGGAAAGTTTGTCATTGTAAGCCACTAAGTTTGCTACCTGGTAATAAATCACTATTTTAGCTATTATATTAGTAATAATTTTGATTCTGTTATGAGTTTTAAATATCAGAATACTTAGAGAAAACTAGAATATGTGACAGGGCATTCTGAAATTACAAGCTTAATAACACTGATCATAAATTATAATACTAGTAGTGACTACTGAATTGATACAGTATATATGTTGAGAAAATTAGGAATTTTATAAGAAAAACAACAAAAAATTACAATTGAGATTTGTGCCATGTTAAATTGAAATCTTACAAAAATGATACATTATTTAGACTTATCTGTATTTTTTAAATAGCTAATGTGTTTTAAAAAGCCAGGGGCGAAAGCAGTTACCTTGACACAATCAACCCTGAAACAAAACAAAACAAAAAAATTTATTCTGTGTGATATCCAGCCAGTAAATATATTTAGTTACTTAAAACTAAAGAAAAGATGCGTATGATTAATTGCTAACCTGGAAGTTCCTCTGCTTTGGAGTCCTGTGTGAATCGAGCAGTATTTTTACCAAATGAGGATTTCCTCAGTCTTAATGTTTTAATTGAGGAATTAAGAGCAATCTGAGGTTCATGATATGTACCAGGAGCTGGGGTGATAGACGTCACAGGTATAAATCTCTAGTAAAGAACAGGAAAACCTAGCAGTGAGAAACTGAAGGACATCTTGATATTCATGAGTTAAAAACTGTCTGCTGAGTAATAAAACATTCAAAGTTTATTTTTTAATGGAATAAGAGAATATAGATGAATTAAGATCTTGTACCCAACAAAAAATAAAACGAGATTTTAGTAAAGTCACCCATATACTTATATAGTTATGTGTGATACACTTTATTGAGGATGATGGACTTTTAGAGGAAAATACTTTCCTCATGAAATTCTAGATGATAGTATATGGACAATTTTCATATTTCAAGGGTTCTGCAAGTAAGAACAATGAACAAAAAAACTACACTATAACATAATTTCTTTTATGTAATAAAATTGCATAAATTGACAAAGTTCTTCAATGTATATATTCATTTAAACCAACAACAGTAACAGAAAGTTAAAATAAAAAATAAATCTTACATTATTTATAAATCCACCTTAACTTATAAATTTATTAGTATTAAATATATGTGTGCCTATCATCATGAACTCACACAATAAATATATCATTCTAAATCCATACTGTTTAGCTCTTTTTAAGTAATTTCAAATTTATAGAAAAGTTTAACAGAAATAATGCAAAATTAGGAAAATCAAGATGGCAGAATAGGGTAAGGGCACATTTAAACAGATGAAGAAACATCAGCCAATGTGTAGCACAGAGAGCACATTCCAGGAAATAGGAGAGGACAGAACGATAGCAGAGGGGCATGTGAAAACTGAAAGACATGGGAAACCAGTGAATACACGGTGAGGTGTTGCAGTGACCAATATCCCAGCAGCATTCAGAGAGTGGCATTCTGAACTGTACTGGCATCCTGATCTCCGCCATTAACAAGGTAGGAAGGAATGTTCACCTGGGGCTCACGAGGTGAACACAAAGAATTGCCTGTCCTGCTGGTCCGATTGACTTGACCAGGAGCAGAGACAGAGCAACAGATCCCAGATGGCAGTGCGGGAACAGGGTGGATTTCACAACCCAGTCTGGCCCATAGAGACAAATCATGCACCATTTTGTGAAGGAAAACAAAGGCTATGGAACAATACTGAGCATGCACTGACCTGGGAGTGAACTCATTTCTAGCTCAGTAAACTGCAACAACACAGCATCGTACAGGTTCCCCAAGATAGGTCCGGTGGCCCTCAGACCTGATGGCCAGCAGATCAAGAACACTAGTAGTGGCACGTCAGGCACCATTTTGTACAGTGTGGAAAAAAGCTTTAACACTGCAGAGATAACAGTAAACTATGTATGTGCTGAGCTGGGAGTGAACTCACTGAACTCACAGCATTGAACTGGTCCCACACAAAAAATAATATCAGCAATGGCATAGTAGGGTCAAAATAGGTCCATGTGGCCCTCAGACCTAACAGCAAACATGTTCTAGCAAGATCAGCACTAACAACAACCTAGCTATATAGGACTCCTGTTGCCCCCCTTTCCCTGGGTCCAATCCTAACAATAAGTGGGAGAAAGGTTATACAGACAATGAATGGTACAACCTTAGCATGGTATCACAAGAAGTATATAGTGGTGAGCCAAGAGCTGGGGCTACAAAGACTTTGGTGGAAGTCTAACATAAGAACCCAGACATGGAACTTGCTAGAGAGAGTGGCACAAGTGGCTGCAAAGAGCCATGTGCCAACTGCAATAAATAAAATCAAATTGTAGACCTGTGGGTGACACAGCTTAGAAACCTGCTCCAAGGAGAAGACTCTGCTAACCAGAAGTACAATGAACAAGAGAAGAAAACACAAAGGCACAATGAATATTACTGAAGATTCCCCTACAAAGGAGCAAAACCTTTGGCCAACCTCAGAGTCAACTGAGGAATACATCGAAAAAATGGGGAATACAGAATTCAGAACACCTGTTATAAAACTTTTTTTTTTACTTCTTTTATTATTATTATCATTTTATGTTACAGTTCCATAGGTCCTGGGATTTCCCTCATCCCCTCCCCAATTCCTCTCCTTCACTGAGTTCCCGTATTTCATTACTATTGTATAGTTCTTCATATAAAGTCATATATCCATCAATGCAGCATGGACAATGGCAGAGAGTTCAGCATTCTATTGTTAAGATATAGTAAACAGTTTCATTGGGAATCCATCTTTGTCTGGAAGTAGAGATGCATATTGCATTGTATCCTCACATCTGGATATGACAGTCTCCATTACAGTTACTATACATCCCCTTAAATGAAAAGCCACAAATAAATAAATAAATAAATAAACAACACGAAGAAGAAAGCAAATGTGAAGAACATCCCAGTAAAATAACAACAGAAGACTAAATCAATGAACAACCCATTGCTAAAATGACAGAACCAAATTACCACCCATTCATATTAATCCTGAATGTAATTGGCTTAAACTCATCAATCAAATGTCATAGATTAGTAGACTGGTTAAATTTCTATTTTACTTCCTGTTGTTGATTTTGTATTCTGGCTTTTCATTTAAGGGGATGTATAGTAGTAACTGTATAATGGAGTCTATCATATCCAGATGGGAGGATACAATACAGTATGCATCTCTACTTCCAGACAAAAATGGACTCCCAATGAAACTGTTAACTATATCTTGACCATAGGATGTTGGACTCTCTGCCATTGTCCATGCCCACATGACTGTATGTAAAGAACTATACTGTAGTAATAATACAGGGGATCTAAGTGGCGATAGGGGAATAAGGGAAATACAGGGCCTATGAAATTGTATCATTAAATGATAATAATAACAATAAAAAAGGTAAAATATATATTTTTAATTGAAAATTATTTTATTTATTATTTATTTAAAATTTAACATGGTCTCCCATATAAGTGCAAGGTCCCAGTGACTTAGACTATCCTCCTTTCTTTTCCCAGGCCACAAGCAGGGAGCTGAATCAGAAGTGTAGCAGACAGAACACGAATCAGCACCCTAAAGGATCCCAGTGCTCACAATGGGAGGATTTAGCCATTTGAGCCATTGCCTGAGCCCCCAAAGTATTTATTTTTAAAAGTAGTCAGACAGTGTAATACAGCAGGTTAAGCTGTAGCTTGTTACCCCACATCAATTATTAGTGTGCCAAGGATCGAATTCCACCTCCACTTCTGATCCAGGTTCCTGCTAAAGTGCCGTCCCTAAGTTTCCCTAGGGAGTCACAGAGAGTCACAGAGTGGTCCAAGTACTTAGGTTCTTGCCATCCAGAGACCTCGATGGAGTTGCTGGTTCCTGGCACTTGGCCTGGGCCAGACTCAGCTGTTGGGAAGTGAATTAGCAAATAAAATATTCCCTGTATCACTCTTCAATAGAGAAAGAGAGAAAGGAAGGGAAAAAAAAGAAAAGAAAAGAAAAGAAAAGAAGGAAAGAGAAGAAAGAAGAAAGAGAGAGCAAGCAAGGAAGGAAGGAAATCTAAAAACTAATGGTAAATAATTAAAGAAAGTGAGTGGAAATTTGAGCCACTGGGGCTGAGGGAGAAGTCTCAATTTGCCAATTTCAGTGACATAAACACATCCAAAGCAGTAGCTAATTTCACATTATCAAAGTAATATCAATGAATCTTTAAAACTCCCAGAAAAGTAACAATTGCTCAGACAAGCCAATATAAGCTCTATCTCTCAATTATCCCCTATAGGTAACTAATGACATTGTTTTCTGTTTTATTCTTGTCTTGTTTGTATAAAGTCAAGCTATTTTATGTATGTTTTCCCATTTCCTCTTCTCACTCAAAAGTAGTGTATCAAATACTCTCTTTGGCATTTTGCATAGTAAGTAAATATCAACACTACCAAAAAAATACTGGGAATATTAAAAGAACTTTCTAATTTTTTCTAAACATTATTGCACTAGCTTTGTTGTTGTTGTTGTTGTTGTCAAGGAAGAGAGACAAAGATAAAAAGAGAGAGGAGAGAGGGGAAAAAGATTGTTTCCAAAACTTCTGAGGCCCGGCCGGGCCTATATGGTTCAAAACCAAGAGCTTAAAATCTCTTTCAAGCTTCCAGATGAGTGTTATAAACAATCACTTGAGTCACCACTGCTGCTTTCCCAGAGCCCATTTTAACAGGAAGCTGAAATCAGGAGTCAGTGGGAGGCATAAACCCAGGACTCCAACAGAAAATGCCAAAATCCTGATGAATTACCAGGTCGAGATGTGTTCTGTTGTTACCTTCTTATTTAGATGCTAAATAAAATGTTTTTCAAATGGTAATTCTCAACTCTAGATTCAAAATTTTATAAGAAAAATACTGATATCTGATGCTTTTCTTGACCACTGAAACAGAAACGTGGAAAAACAGAGTTCTACTTGGAACAATCATATTTAAAAAAAAAAACTGACTGTATGTACTCAAACCCAGGATGTCCTGTGCCCCACTCTGGTACCATGTAGTCCTTCAGTACCTCTGAGTTGCTCTACTTGTAATTCTTTCTAGGTCCTTGCTACAAGAACTAGCCCTACAATACTGTGTTAATTATAGCTCCAAAATACACCTGCAAACTACCTATCTGACTGAAAGGAAGCATCTTTGAAGTGAAATGAAACCAAAAAAGTCATCTCTAATCACTTTAGTAAACTAAATAAGATAAGCAGAGCTATACATGGGACAGCTGGATAAATATCACAACTATTTTGTTACGGAGGCTGTCACCTTATAAATTGTCATGAGTTTCATAATTGTCTTGCTAGATAAATATCTCATATATCTTCAAGCCCCCTCCCTTAGTAAATTTCTCTGAAGTTGTTTTTGGGAAATACATTCTAAGACCAGAACACCAGTAATTCAGGCCCCTATGGCAGCTAAATGCCACCTGTGGCCAGTTTTCCTCAGAAAGCCTTCACAACCTTCACTTTTGTCTCATAGGCTACACATTAACATATTTATTGGTAAAATTATATTTTAAAGTAGACTTTTCTCCCAAAATGGAATACTCACAGAAGTAAATCTGCTAATAGAAAATGCTTAATAGATGGTTATTCA